GAGAGTCCTGTTTTTTTTCTCAAATATCTGCACGATCATCGCAAATGTACAATAAACAACAAATTACAGAGTAAATTTTAGACACAAAATTCCATTTTGCTCCGTCAGAAAGAAAACAGAACAAACAGCCGAACCGCTGCGTCTCCGAACAACAGTGTTTTGTTCCTTAGCGTTACACAGACCAGCAAATGATTCAATTCAGTCATTTGCAAAGTTAAATGAATCAGCTTTTTAAACAAATCGGTTGATTCAACTCACTCATTAAGACAGTCACTTGCTGCCACCTACTGGCGCTTGTAGTTTAATTTAAAAAAGTAGGCCTAGCTTATTTCATTTTTGCAATCATTTAATATTTCTACATTAAAATAATGTGAAACCGGTATAATTTGTAAAAATACCGTGATATACATTTTTGGTCATACCGCCCAGCACTAAGCCTAGACATGATGCATATTAATTGTACTATTTATGAACCTCAAAGCATGTTTGTGTATTTTGTGTTACTCCATAATGATGTTCTATTTGAGGGCATTTGTAGTGTAGGTATAGGGCCCAAACATAACCTCAAGCCCAGGGGCCCCCGCACCCGAAGTCCTGCTCAAGAGTATTTGCAGGAGAATCGATGACACTGAAGGGCAAAGAGAGAGCTGGAAGTCAGTCTGACTCAGCATTATTGATCGTCTAAAGTTGTTTGAATGCTAAGTGGTTCGTTGTTGATGTTTCAAAGCCAAATGAACACGGACCGGCTGCTACAGAACATTTCCATCCTCTACTAATAATTTATCTTCCTTGTTCTTAAATATGCAATTTTGACAAATATTACAGCAGTAGAGTAGCATTTCTTGTTTTGTTTAATATTTATAAAATGGGTATTTAATAATAATAATAATCATTTTATTTTACAGTACAATTGTATTAATTACCAGTATTATTATTAATATTATTTTTCTTAAATACCTGATTTTTTTAGAGGAATATTACAACAGTAACATTGCTTATTTTGTTTAATATTTTATTTTACAGTACAACTACAGTAAAAGTACAATACTAATATTTCTCAATTTTTTCTTTTTCAAACGTTAAACTAGCTTTAATTTTGGTTAAAAACTGCAGGGAGCCGTTATAGTTTCTCTTTGGTTTGGTTTATAGCAGGGATGCACCGAAATGAAAATTATTGGCCGAAGCCGAAACAAAACAAGGTTTTTCGAGGGTATTTTTCCCCATGTATTTTGCCAATTTTTTTCACCACTGCACAAATTAAATAGCCAAAATGTGCTTTTTACTGTTTTGTCTTGCTTTTCAAAGAAAAAATCTATTACAAAACAACAATTTAAAAGTATTTAACACTGAACATTTTTTAACATTCTAGCAGACATTATAGTTATACCAACAAAGCACAATTTAACTTAAAATTAATAAGTTAGTAAAATAATATTTTTTTGGCCATCAGACCCCCTTCTTGAATCAGGCATGTATTTTTAACTGTACAATTAAAAGCAGCCTTGCTGAGCAGAGACTTCTTTTAAAACATTAGAAAATATTACAGATCCCAATTTGAACACTACGTGTGAATGTTATAATAAATGTATTAACAGAGCTGTTGAAATTATCATTATTATTGTCTTACTTTTTATTTTATTTTACAGAACAACAGTAAAATCACAATACTAACATTTATGATTGTTTATGGAGTTATTGCTTTTTCTCAACTTCTATTTTGGCGAAAAAACGCGCAGGAACACAACAGCAGATTTATAAATGAGTCTCATTACGAATAAGTCTTTTAAAAAAAAAAAAAATCATAAAAATGTTGACTGAGCAACTGAGTACACTGTTACAGCGCAGATTTCCCTCGCGGTTTGGACTTTGAACCCTGGCTAACGAGCAGATAGCACCGCGAGTTCATGCAGCGCTGTCAGAATGCAATGCGTGCGTGTATTAGAAAACATGACGTTCTGCAGTTTATTTACTAATTGTTTAAGGCCATTTCGCGATTTCAATTATCATACAGTAACCAGCAACAATCACCCCTTCCTCTTCCCATCGAAGACAGCCGATGCAGTCCTAAACAGTCTCTCGCTGTCGGTGCTTGTAATGATTTTTGCGTCTTTCTCGGACAGTTTTAAATGCTTCCACACTGCTGACATGTT